GGGAGAGAGAGAGAGAGAGAGAGAGAGAGAGAGAGAGAGAGAGAGAGAGAGAGAGAGAGAGAGAGAGAGAGTTGAGACTGGGTGACATTGGACTATGGACAGAGACATTGGGAGACTATTTTGGAGACTTCATGAGCGACATTTGTGTTGACGACATCTTTATTCCTCCTCTTCCTTCGTCTCTTCCCCCTCCTCTATGGATGTTTGCTGGCCTGGTGACCTTCGTCTGTGTGTTTGGCTCGAAGACCCCTTCCACCCTGCTTGATGATGACGAGTTTGCTGCAGCTGGTCTGCGTCATTGTGAGTCAGCTCGTGGTATATCAGTCTTCCGCTGTGCTATCTTTGCTCTCTGCTTGAGGTCGGTTCTTGGTTCTGATCTCTGCCTTATAGGCATGTGACAGCAAGCCTGAACAAGAAGAGAGTTGGAGCATCACACGAATACCTGCATAGCCAGCCCCTTTTGGGGTGTCTTCCGCTAGTTTTCTGATGTTTCCGGTCACGATTCCATCAAAGGTGTTTTTGGTACATGGATACTGCTGAAGGCCAAAGTTGGTAATCGTCCAAGCCAAGGGCCGTTCAGAGGCACTTTTTTCCGCTATACAGGTGGTACAAGGTTGGACCCCAAAGAAAGAAGTGGTAAGGTGCTTTCTTTTTCTTGTTGTGGCAGAGGGATTCTGCTGGTTGCGGGTATGCTCAGCATGGGGTAGACTTTAGGGTTTGGACAGTTCCCTCCGGACTTCCTATTTTGGCCGAGGTATCCTTTTGTGTGCCCTAACTCCATTGTTCATCCATGGAGTGTTTTGTTCTTTCTGTCTCCTCAGAATGATAGGTGTGATCCAGAAGGAGAGGGAGAAAGGAAAAATAAAATCATGTTTGTCTGCAGATGTGAAGATCACATGAACATCTCTTTAGAAGCTGGAAGGTATGGATAGCGTGAAATGGGACTTCGGTTATTTTGGACCTGAAAAGGCAGGACTCTTATGTCAATGATTGTACTATTGGACAGATGTGGAAAGGTACTTTGGCTTATTCTCATTGCAGAAAGGCATGAGTGGGTTCACTTTGTTGTTGGTCTGATAGCACAAATTAATGTGGGATGATAAATCTTTGATGTGGAAATGTACAAGGACGATGACAATTCCTGTGCTATCAGCTTGATGTGGAACGGGAATGGATGATGATAACACAGGGAGCTACCCTGGCAGCTAGCCTGGTAATCTTGGAAGGAGTATGTGTGGTTGTGGTGAAATGTGTGGTTTTTGCCGTATTGTATTGCGTACAAAAGTATTGATGATGGCTATCTTGTGACGTGTGTTCTCGTCCTTCTCTCCAGAGAATGAGGTGCTCTATCCTATGATGGTCACTGGGCCAAGTGGCGAAAAAGTGGAGCTAATGGTGAGCACTCTGTGTTCCCTCTCTGCACATCACTATCTCCTGCTTTTCCCAGCCTTTCTTCTCTGTGTTGCCCGTGGTTCTCCTCTCCCTCTCTCCCCATGCATATGATAGTCGGCTTCACAGATGGCTGACCTGGTGGGCTTGGGAATGCCGAGCTTGGTAAGCGTGGCAGGCGTGGTGTTTTTGGTGGTGGTGGGGGGGGATTGGGGGGAAAGTCTTCAATGTGCTCGAGCGTTAAGTCCTATGGAGTTTGGAGTTTTGGAACGAGTGAACCTGTGTCACCTTCTTTTTTGGGTATTCCTGGTGTCAAAGGTGGGACTTTGTTGTGGCACTTGTGGGATGCATGCGTATCTGTATGCACTATGAATGGTAAGGTTGGACTCGGTTGTGGCACTTGTGGGATGCATGCGTATCTGTATGCACTGTGAATGGTGGCTAGGGGCATCCTGTCAATGGAGGGCAGGGGTGAGCTATGTTTAGATGTGGGGCGTTGGGGAGGGTTGATTCTATCAAGGGTTGTTTTTTGTGGACTGGGGGGACCACTTTCAAAGAGAAGAAATAGGCTGCTGTCACTTCGTTGTAGCGTGATGGTTCTCGTCTTAGTGGTGTTGGGCTCAGTGGAGTGCCCTGTTACGATCTCCGTCGGTTGTTGTCCACACTGATATTAGTAGTGTTGGAATGTGCCCCCTTGTGGCAGAAAAGGACCAGTTTGGTGGAAGGTTCTGGTATGCCTCGCTAGAATGGTAGTACTCTCAGACACGGAAGAACGATGGGGAAGTGGGCATTCCTCCTGAACCATGGACTCCGTCATTTTCGTGATCAAACTGTTGCAGTATTAGTGGTCAGGTCTTTGTGCTCGCCTTGGCCCAACGGGTGGCTGCAGATTGCTCCCTGGCTGATGGCCTGAAGACCACTCTGAGCTATTTCCTGTGCTGTCCTGCAAGGTAGGAGTGCTGGATAAAGGAGAGAGACACACCTCAGTGGCTCACAGGAGTCAGATCTTGTGTGTTTGTGTGTCAATGTGCCTTGGGGTTCACTTCTCTGTGATTATTGCCTTGATTTTGTGCGTATGCCTGATAGCCTGGACAGCACCATGAGATGATTCAGACGCTACCATGCAAGTCAGAGGGAGTGCAGATAAAGGAGAGAGAGACACCACAACTTGCGCATTGTATGCAGTTCTCGTGTGTGTGTGTTGGTGTTACTGTGTGTTGTCTTCCGTGTGTCCGTGATGATTGGCTTGATCTGATCTGGATGATTGCATGAATACAATTGTTGTTTGACTGGTACGTCAATGGTGGTCACTGATGAGTGAGCGTCTACCAAACTGCTGGACTGTGCATTTCAACAGGTTCTGCCGACAGACACAGTGATGGATATAAGGCAGTTCCTTGCGGATGCCCCAGAGACGTGCTTCTATACGTGTTATGATCTCATTCTGACGCTGCCAACAGGAATGAGGTATCAGCTTATGGATTACCTTGAGCTGTCCGAGGTGTGCGATGTGGCAGCAGGGGGCTGCAAGTTGGAGATGGTGGATGGTGAGTTAGTGTCCTTGTTTGGGCTTGTCGTTGTTTTGCGTATAGCTAACAAGGAAGCCCCTTGCAGAACAATATGTTTTCGAGAGAGAGGAGTAATTGAATATTATCACTGGACGATGACTGCATCCCACTCTGCTATGTCGGAGGGAGCCTTTGCAGGGAAATCTGTGGGGTGATAACGCGTGGTTGAATTGGCAATTCCACTGAGCTTAAGCGCAGATCGGACTGTGAAGGTGTTCCTAATTCCAAGCACCAATCTCTGCATTAGTATGCATGCATTCATCGAATTTGGCTCTGCCTGCTGGGAGACACCAATCGCCTGAAAGCTCGGCCATAGATGATGTTAGGGTTTCTCGCTGCAGTTCTCTTTTGTGAAGTTTCAAAATCTGGCTCCGATCAGAGAGATGATTCTCTGAACGGAGACTGTAAGTATGTGGCAGGTGGAGCATCATTGTATGTATTTGCCAACTTGGGCTCTGCCTGCTGGGAGACACCAATCGCTCGCTTGAAAGCTGGGCCAGAGGTGATGTCAAGGTTTTTCACTGCAGTTCTCATTTGTGGAGTTTCAAAATCTGGTTCAGATCAGGGGGATGATTTTCTAAACTGAGACTAGGTATGTTGCAGATGGAGCATCATTATCAAGTATGCGGTACAATCATCAATAGGAAGTGCAGAGTGTGTGGCAAAATGGGTGAGAAAAAGGACATTTTTCAAAGATTTAAGGATTGTGCTTCAACTACATCTCAACCCGGAAAGGCCTGGAACCATTATGCAGATTAGGCTTGTGCTGGAAATCGGGTCCAGCGTCCCATATCCACAAGCTTTCGAAAAATGCTGCAACTGGACTAACAAAAGGAGAATCTTGTTCCTACAAATTCTGGGCCTCGTGTCTTGTCCGTCTACCCAAAGACCTGCATTAGCAAAGACACAACTCCCTTAAAAAAAAAAAAAAAAAAAAAGATTGTGCTTCAAGCCTTCAACTCCTTTTTGGGACATCTGTCAAAATTGGAACGATATGGAGAAGATTAGCATGACCCCTGAGCAAGGATACACAGAGAGAAGATTAGCGTCCCCTGCGCAAGGATGACACTCATAAATCGGAAAATGGTACCCACTTAAAAAAAATAAAAATTGTGCTTGAAGCCGTGAACTCCAAAAGCCATCTGTGTCTTCCCTTTCTCTGCGCGTCCTTGCATTCTCTCTCCTAACCCTGTCTGGCTTACTCTGTCATCTTTTTCACAGCGTGCAAGTGGGCTGTCATGACAGATGGGGTACGGGCGCCTCATGCCAAACCACACTGGCATGGGGAGCCTTGCCCCTGAGAGGCACAGTCAACAGGGAGAGCTGAAAGAAATAAAGACGAGAAACCGCAAAAGAGTTAAAAGGAAGAAAGACGACAAGAACTGCTCAGAGAATGGCAAAATAAATGGGTTCAGCGCCTCTCTTGCCATCTGCTCTTTTCTTCATTTGCTTCACTCTGAATCCAGAATGCTTGGTACATAAATTGAGCAAGAAAGGGAAAGCGGTAAAGGGCCGACCAAGAAATCCCAAAGAACGGTGGAAGGATTGAGAGTGAGACTAAAGACTAGAGTGTTTGGGAAATCCCATGACAGTGTGACCTAAATGAGTGGAATGGGGGAACGGTACCATTGGAGAACTGTATACTGTTTCTCATGTGTATCATATCAGGTGCATGAAGGTGTGGCCTTTGGAATTATAGCTGTGGAAACAAGTGGACTTGTGACTGTTTCTCTGATCAAATTGGGGTTTGGTTCTGGGGCTCATTGTGTGGTGGATAAGGTTGCAGCTAGGTACAATCAGTGATGTTTTTTTCAGAGTTGTGGTGCTTACAACATATCGTACTGTATCTGACATATCAACTGAAAGCATGAATGTAATGCATATTTTGATGTCTCTCTCTTTTCTATTTGCAGCATTTTATGATGATAGGACAGTTCGTAATCATGTTCGGCGGACAAGGGACTTGATATCTACTTCGAACATCCATATGTCTTTGTCGACAAAACTGGCAATGGAATTTGAGAAGTCGCTGGCAAATGGTACAGTGTAAATGCTCAACACATTGGTTCAGTGTTTCGTGATCGGTATCCCTTGCAGAAGTGTGTGTGTGTGTGTGTGTGTGTGTGTGTGTGTGTGTGTGTGTGTGTGTGTGTGTGTCGCATGCGTGGTTGAGGACAACTAATGTCCCATGGCAACTTTTCTCTATCTATAAAGGGGGATAGCTCAGATTATTACGAATTCTTACAGTATTGTTTGCTTATCAACACCACGTAGCATTGAGCTATAGGGTGGCTCCATAGGTAGGTATAAGGTGAAACATGAACAGCATGAAGGTGAGGTCGTGCCTGGTCTGGCTGTGTGTCAAAGCATTATAAGGGCATTCTCACGCTTTCATCGATGCATCTGATTGTTTTTATGAGCGTATGAAGCCAAAACATATCAAGCCAGAAAAGTCTTAGTGTGATTATGCTGTGCAGCCCTTTCTCTGTTTGAGGTTTTACATTGTTATCAAGATGTTGACGTGCATTTGTCACGGTCATGCCCTGGTGCCAGTAAGGTGGGAACGCAGGATATGGTGTGCATAGAAGAACAGAACAGTCGTCTTTTCAACTTTCTTCTCCCTGACGTGAATGTCATAGGGTGTGCAAGTAAGCTCAGTTCACTCAGTTGTGAGTCCCAAGAGGATACGATTTTTGTGGAGCCCAGTGCTGGACTGCAGAAGGTACTGGTCCTATAAGAGAAGCACCGAGGGAAAGTGTTTGTGTCAGGTGTTGTGTTTTGTGTATAAATCTTCGCCACTGATACGGAGGGGGGGGGAGTTGAGCTATGAAGTGCTGCGAAGCATTATGGAGCATTGATGTTATTGCACTCGAGATATGATGCATTTCTTCTGTTCTTTTTTTTTAAATATGAACAAAATACAGCTGTCTTCTCCTCCTATGGGGACATTTGTATTTTTTTACCTGCCCTATTTTCTTCCCTCGTTTTACCTCACACTAGCTACCGATATCTACCCACAAGCCCTACAAGGCAGATATTGAATCACCTCTCTTCAGGAAGAGCAGCTACTACCCCAGACAAGCAAGGGGTGCAACAGCCTATTGGCACATCAAGGGAACCCTTTTTTTTTTTCTTTTTTTTTTTTCCGGTTATGGTCCTGGCTCCTTCTATTCTGGGGAGCGTCAGTCCGGTTCCTATTCCACCGGCAAGTCAAAATAAGCATTACATCAATGACACTCACATACGCTTCCTTCCGTCAGGCCGAAGGATCCCTGAACAGCATTGATTGCTCCACCGTGGTGGAGGATTGACTGTCAGCTTGCCCTATCCCACTCTTTCCTCTCAGACCTAGGTTCCAGGTCTGCCAGATAGCACCATTGGCCCTAGAAAGAGCTCATCYGATAAACTTGACGGCCTGTATCTTCCCCATGCATCTCCCTACCCCTTTGGAAGATCTGTGATAAACCCTACACCCTAAACCCTATGCCTGCGCCCGACTTCCAATAGTCGAACTCTATCCCTTTCTTTTTTTTTTTTTTTCCTCATCCAAACTGTCTGGAATGAACCTTGAGAAATGTCCATTGCTAAACCCTAAACCCTTGATCTTACTGCCACACTCTAGAATGTGTCCTATAAACAGTCCTTAACTCACCCTAAACTCTATCCTCACCAACCCATCCTCTATGTCTATGTGGTTCCCTTAAACCCTAACCTCATCCTAACTGTCTGGAACGTGTCCTCTCCAAATGAAGGATAAATTATTATTCTTTATGATTGCAACTGCTCCTTGCCCCAAGATATTCTGATTAAACCGTTTCATTATCTCTTCCGCTTGTCCCGGATGGAGTGGTACTCGTTTCCTTACTACTTTCCATTGTGCTCTAAAATCTGTTTCAACCAACGTGAGAAATATCTCCCTTGCTTCCTGTATGTGCATTGGCCTATCTTCAAAAGTAACTTGGCACCTGCGTTTCCAGATAGTCCAGAGACTATACTGTCGCACTAATTTAAAAAGATGTTTCTCAAAGTTCTGCCATAGRTTCGGGATGTTGAGTCCCAACATAAGGGAGATTTTAGACTCAGGAAAAGAAGACCTTGTAATCTGTCCCCATATGTTCCTCACTTCCCCCCAAAACTTACCTGCTTCCTCACATGCTATGAGGCAATGCAGCATTGTTTCCGGATCCCCCGATCTACATACCCGGCATGCAGCACTGTCCGCGCTCCTCTGACCCAAACTTCTACGCTCATCCAACCAAGCATTGACCGGAAGTGYCACGTGAGCTATCAACCACTGCATACTTCTAACCAACCCCAACCGTATAGCTGTAATACTTGACCAAGGTATTTTCGTTAACTGATTACGTGGAATGTCTACTCTCKTTTCCCATCTCTTTGTCAATAAAGGCGCGAGCGTATGAGCCCGTCTTCTCAATCWATACCCAGAACTAGTAGTATAATGTAAGATGTTAATTCTTCTTTCTACACCTRTACCTCTATTCTTGAGCTTCCAAGCCCATTCTACCGGATCCACTTCCAGATCTTCAATTGATACTGATGGACTATAAATTGTAAAATCCTCTGTCTCCACTACCCTCACCTTCCTCAGATATTGTTTAAGAATAACTAACTGAACTTTAGAAGTYATGTCCAGAAGAGAAGTTGTATTGGATGGATGGGTAATTTCATACTTATCTGCATGTAGCCAATCYTGCTTTGAAGAATCTTGATTCCATATCCTGAAGGCTTCCTTAGGTTCACTATCATAGTTCCATGTGGCCCAGTCCCCCTGCTGCCATTTTATACCCTCCTGTAGGACTTGTTGCCACCTTTGTGGTATTGCCCCTAAGACAATCCCCCGATTATCATCTAATTTATGACATCCTTTTAATTGAGTCCTTAATTCTCCCACTGTTTTCCATCTCCCTTCCCTGTCTTCCCAGATATGCTTTACTTGCCAAACCCCATGCTCTACCCATCTTCCCCACTTTGCGTCTTTTATKGACAGTATCAGCGGMTYCCCTTGTGCATCCCTAATACTCTGATTACCAAACAAAGGTTGTCTAAGAATTTCTTCCCTCGTGCCTGGCTCCTTAACTTTTGCTGGGAAAATGTCCTTCCATAGTCTCAATAGCTGTACCCAATACGATGTTTTCGCTGCTTCATTGTCAGCCCCCTGAATACCTCGTACATGTCCTCCCACCTTAGGCCAATTACTACACATTAACCAAAACAAGCCTGACATATTCTGGGGCGTTTTGAATTTAGCCATTTGTCGTATTCTGTGCAACACTATAGAGGTCCATGGTAGCTTGTGCTGTGTTAAGAGTCTAACCACCCACTTCGTTTGCAATGCCTTTAGTTGAGTATCTGGGTCCAGAATTCCCAGCCCCCCCTGTTGTTTTGGAATGGTGACATGCTTTTTACCTCACCTTATTTTTGGGGGACAGTTGTATTTTTTGGGGGACAGTTGTATTTTTTTCCCTACCCTATTTTCTTGTCTTTTTACCTCACACTAGCTACCCGTATCTATGTCCTACCGACAAGCCATACAAGGCAGATAATGGATCACCTCTATTCAGGAAGAGCAGCTACTATCCCAGACAAGTACAACAGCCTATTCGCACATCAAGTGAACCCGGATCTAAGACTAAGTCCACAGCTAGGATCTAGGGCTAGGGTCTAGGGCTAGGGTCTAGCGCTAGGGTCTAAGGCCACCTTAAGTTTACTAACCATGTTTCTACATCGGCTAGGGTCTAGGGCTAGGGTCTAAGGCCACCTTAAATTTACTAACCATGTTTCTACATCGGCTAGGGTCTAAGGCTAGGGTCTAAGGCCACCTTAAATTTACTAACCATGTTTCTACATCTACCTACTTCTGCTCTGTGCAGGGAGCAGTACCCAAGCTCCTAACACCTGGCATGGGCTGGAAAGAATCACTTCCACAACCAGCCAGGAGGCCCAAGCCAACAATGTCCGCGGGTGAACCTGAAGCATCCCCCAGGAGGCCACGGGTATCGAACCCACGACGAGCGCCACTTACGTGCTCAACCAACTGAGCTAGCCTGCGTGGGCAACATGATGCATTTCTAGTATTGTGATTTGTGAAATGATTGCGATAGGCTCTGGGTGTTGCCGAGTGTCCTGTTGCATCGTTTCTTCCAGCTCGCCCACAATGTCACCTTGCCGATCAAGCCGAAGCTGGTCTTTTCTGATTTGTCAAAGTGGGGTGGCATGTTAGTCCAGAGGAGGAGTTGGTGAAATGATCAGGTGAACGGATATGTTCTGTGCGATTCCAAGAGAAGTGATTGATTTTGTAATCACTCTGGCATGCGTGTCGTTGATACCTTGCGGGTGAGGGGTGGGGAGTCATCATGGTGGCTGCAGTGGGGTGAGGCGAATCTGTATCACCGATGCTTGAGGTGGAGTCGTGAAGAGGGGAGAGATATTGGGTTTAGTGTTGTGCAACCGTTCTTTGAATTGCTGTCGAGTCATTTGAGTACTGTGCTCCCTACAAAAAACAGTGATCCTGTATAGTGAAATTTTAGTTGGAACTTGAAAGCAGGCTCTTACATGACAGTGTGCATGTGTGATAGTTTTCTAGATGGGAAGGTGCTCCCTAGAAAAGGCCTTGCGCATGTGATGATTTCAGAAGTTCTGTAGCAAGGATGTGCCTGTCCTACCTGGTGAGCATGTAATTGCTAGGCAGCTGGAGCTTGGGATAAAGATGTAGACAGGAATATTGTGGAAGCGTGTAGGCCTTTGTGCCGAGGTCTGAGCTTACTTGACATGTGTCTTGAGTCTTGCAAGGACTTATTGTTGCATTGGCTACACAGCCAACTTTTGTTGTCATCGACCTTCTGGCATTTTCGGCAAATGAAATGCGGAGTATTGCATGATCTTAACCTTGCCCAGGGCTATACGTGTGTATTCCGCTGGTGAAAATTCACAGGGAAATCGGCCCCTGAGACATCATCTTCCAAAAGCATAGGAGCTGCCGCGAAGTTGGATGCAGACAAAGTGGATGGGGTTGCAGGAGGGACGGATGGTCTTGGGTTTATGGAGGACTCAGCAGGGCACCTTCTCAGGCTGCTTGTGGAAGCCCAGGCTTCTGACCCGGACGGTTCATCCTGCCTGGGAAAACTGGCGTTCTCTTCGCTTAACCCAGTCCCTGGGTATAGAAGGTATGTTATCTATGGAGTTTGCAGACGATGCGGTCTGTATCTTTTTTGGCCTGGTGTGGTCTACGGTGTGGGTTCAAGGTTGCTGTTGCCATGATCCTTGCTGGATTCAATGATGAAATCAGCCGACAATTGGCTATGAAGTTTGACTCAGCACCACAATGACAAAATAATGGAGAAGAGGGGACGAAGAAGAACAAGACAAAGTAGAGAAGAATTGAAAACAGTCCCTACAATACCTCTCTCCCTTGTGTTATTCACAATGTCCTCCTTCATCAAAGTGTCTCAAAGAACGAATGGAAGTTTTCACAAAGGATGGACAATGAATGAGTGCCAAGGCAGCCAAGTGTCTTTTCCACCCTTGAAAGATTAAGAGTGGGATTAGTGTATCCAATGCCATCTGCAATTACGTACGGCTGTAAGCTCACTCCTGAAAAAAGTGGACCTGTGAAGGCGTAGGAAAACGCAAAGTGCAAGGATGTATAATTGCGTGTATTGACGTCTGTGTTGTGACAGTGTTGCGCATGGCCTAGAGACCCCCCACAAAAAAATTCAGATTTTTCTGAACATTTGCTGATAGGGTGGTATTTGGGGGGGGAAGGGGGGGTAGAAGGGGTTTTGGTGGGGATAGGAGAGGTATAGATGGGGAATGAATCTTTAAAGATTCTTATTATTTATTCTACTGGCCCAAATGATCCAAAAATTTGGTGGCATACACCTAATGCAAGGTGGAAGCCACATGCCTTTTTTTTTTTTTTTTTTTTTTTTTTTTTTTTTTTTTTTTTTTTTTTTTTTTGCGCTAGGTCGGACATACCCTGTCCGGTCCGACGTCCGACCAGACGTCCGGTCGGACATCCCGGACGGTCAGGGGGGTCCCGGACGTCCGGCCCGGTAACCTAGCTAAAAATGGGATTAGAGCAGATGGTTTGCAGCTTAACAGGAGGGCAGAGGGTGCATCTCCTAGTGCTAGATGCGGCGAAACAAGGATAGGATTGTTGATCGTTCAAGCAAACATGTGCTGGTAGCTTAATGTACTAGTTGTGGGAGGCATTTGACATGTTATTAAACTCTCGGAGGGCATCCTTGTCTAGGCGCGTTTCGATAATGACGTTCGTTGGCATGATCTTCAAGCCGGGCTGCTCACTTGTATGCTTTCATTGATGATGTTCTTTCATGGGGGCAATTATATCAGATGGGTCGTGTGCATATTTAGGTATGCGACTACGGGTCTGCTCTGATGGCTCGCTTTGTATGAGTGTCTTTGATAAGGCGGCGGCCCGGGATTTCCGTGTCGTTTGTTAGCCGAGTGCAATCTCCAACATCCCTTCCCATCACAACCGACATGTCTCTGACCTTTGGGAGCTGTGGGACAATGGCACCATGGTCCATGCCACGACTAATGCTACGGGTTTCTTACGTAACGATGCTGTTTTCTTGCCACGGCAAACCGTCCGCACACTCTTTTATGCCGAAGATAATTGTATTGCAAATGGATGACAACGTATCAAAAATCCTGCAACCTTGTCCATTGCACAGCTACAGACAGTGTTACACTTGGCTGCAGCCATCATCGACTCTTTCACAACCACTATAATGACTTGGTTTCTGCATTCACGTGGGTGGAGAGGACTGACCCTCCTCTCCTGACAGGCACCCTCTGCATCTGGACACACTGTCCATTTTGCGGCCATGGGAGTTATACTGAATGCACAGTCTTTTGTGGTGCCTGTGTTCCTTCATGTTAGCGTGCAATTGGCATGTCATGTGTTGGGTGTGTTTGGTGAGCATGGTTAATGCTAGCTGTCATGGCAATTGTTTTCCAGGTCCTCGTCCGTCTCATCCTTGACCTCTCTGTCATCAAGGACAGACTGATTCCTGAGCCTTCTCTTATCCTTTCCTATGCGTTCATCTTCATTCCGCACTCCTTACTTTCCCCGTCTTTCCCTTGGTCTTCCTTTGCTTTGTCTTCTTTGCATCTTTTCTCTCTGTTTATCCCCTCCCCCTTTTCTCGGCCTCTTTTTCACATTGTACAACTGTGCAGTTATGGCATACGAGGAATGTGGGCAGCTTGTGTTCAACTTAATCAACATGGCAAGCCTTGTATGCGAGAGGCCAAGTAAAGGGGGAGGTAAAAGGAGCAACAGTAAGGAAAGAAACAAAGAACAAAGAGCTGCATAGGAAGTGGCAAAAGCGGTTTCATTGTGGTCTTCATGTTTCGAGAAGAGGTTAACAAAGCCCTGAATTTTAAGTATTTTTTCAGGGTCATTATAACAAACGTCCCATACCGTTTACGCCGCACTTGTCACCAGTCCACAGAGTGGACACCAAATAAACCAACGGCAAAAAAATAAAATAAAAACATTTGATCAAAGGGGCCTTAAACCCCAAGGCCAAAGTGTGTTTTCATGCAAAATTCACTCTTTTCAGTTTTCAGGATTTTCAGGATTTTTCAGGGCTGGCCAAAACAGTGAACTCCAAGACCCCAACAAACACCAAACTTGGCACACACAAACCTTGACCAAAAAAAAAATAGGGCAAAAAAAAAAAAAAAAAGAAAGCTGGAAAAAATGATCTCCAATGCACTTTTCAGGGTTGGGGGTGTTACCTTGGGGCTGCATAGTGGGGGGTTTGGGGCTGCATAGTGGGGGGTCCCTGTTAACCTTTGGTGCATGTTTCTCGTATATTTTTACCGTTTTTTGTTTTTCAAAGTGCGCTCTTTGGTTGATAGATGTGTGACAATATATGGGTGTTTTCCCTTAAATTTGTTTGGGGCGTTTTTCTTTTAATGCGTCTTAAATTCTTAATGGGTATGCTGGGTGCGATCTTTGTTGAAGGTTGATGTTGAGTTCAAAGAAGCTTTTGCTAAGGTCAGAGTGTCGGTTTCGCTCTTAGATGTTCAGTTGTAGGCGCTCAGATACATTCGGGGAGTCATTTCGTCTCATTTGCGTAACAGAGCTCTCGGGACATGAAGTCATGAATAGCTCTTTGGTGTTCCACTATTTCTTTTTTGCATCAGAGACATTTATACTTTGTTATTTGTCGCTTGTTTGACATGGGTCTTCCTTGCAGTTGCAGCGTGCATTTTTAACAGGCTTCCGTGTTATGACTGCTGTGGCTTCCAGCAAGAAATGGTGCTTGCAGGGACTCATGTTTTGGCCAATTAATGTTTTGGATGTGCAGGCTTCAAGGTGACATCCTTTACCTTGACGTGGTTACTTTAGAGGGGAAGAAACTGTGCATTACTGCACACCAGAGAGGTTTCTTTGTGAATAAGACGACCGCAAGTGTGCTGAACCCGGAGCCGGCATCACCGCGCCTGGAGGCGACAACACTTGTGGGATTGCTCAAGAAGGCTAGTGACAAGTTTGCAGCAGGTAAGAGTGGGTGACAAATGTTTTTTTCTTGTTCTTTTTGTTTTCATTGTGTCTGTCACCAGCAGCAGTGGGAGTACCTTTCTTCCCGCAATTACCAGGAAAGTGCAACGTATCTCAGCTGGATCACAACTGGAATTCTTTATGAATCTTGCAGGCAACAAGCGAACGGTTCAATCCTTTCAACGTGGAGCTCACTCCAAGCTGAAGCCTTGCTTTGATGATGTCATCACCCCCGGGAGCTGGAGAGATGGAATTGCTATAGTTTGAGTCTGCACAACCGTCTATAGGAACCAGATTGGCAGATCCTGCGAACCGTTTCTGAATGGACAAAATGACAAATTCTACGTTGTTGGCAAGTGAGCCGCGGCATTGTATTCATTGAATTTCATTCATTATTAGTATTATTGATGCTTTCCTCCTCTCGTCTACTTCTTCTCCACCCTCATCTATTTTCTGGTTGAGGCTATATTGTGTGAGAGGAATAAAGATATGCATGGTGCTTTCATTGTGAGCTTCACATGAGTGGGTTCATTACTGACTGTTTTAATTCAGCAATTTCGTCCAGAGCCCATGGTCGACTTTCGGCATATTGTTCTTTGCAGATGGTTTCTATCAATTTCTTTGCAATTCCATTCCCGCCTTCAGCCTAGAGGACGCTCCCACTAAGAACTCGCCACCTCAGCACCCATCTCTACTGATGTCACTGATGCAGTCTCTCTGCAGCAGTCTCTCTCTACAGGCAGGTTCAACGTCCAGGACGTCCTAAAAACCACCGGTCTCCAGAAGCAACCCGCTGTCTCAACCATTGGATGTGTGTGAGATCTGTGGCTGTGGCCGACTCCTCAGAAATGTTTGACTCTCGGTATGCTGTCTGAGTTAGGGCTGACTCTTCGACTTTCCTACAGTCAACTGTGGTCTCTGGAGTGCACGCGGTGCCTCTTTTGATCCTCGTCCTAGTACCTTCTGACTGGAGAGCTTCCCAACCCCCCCTCAAACGCAGTAGATGGGATTTCTGACCTCTGAACATTCTGTACCAACAGCCATGACCGTAGATTGTGTCTGTGCAGATTTCGCACTGGGTTCTTTGCTGGTCTGTCTAAGTGATAAGAACTAGAATTGTTTTAGTGTCCCATGGGGGAAACTTGAGCACTTGTATGCAGTGAGAGGAATATGTTCAGTGAAAGGAATATTTTATTATTTTCTAATTTGCTTGGCTTTATATTGGGTGGCAGGGTTTGCAGATGTGTGGGAGAAGAAAAGTGCTGGTCACCAGTTCGAGAATATGCAGCTCTCTTTGCCACCCAACCCTTGGCTTGGTGCGACTCCGCCAGCAGGTATGTCTGCCTGCCTGCCTGCCTCTTTCACCTGATCGATCTTGCGTTCTATGTGGCTGTTCTTTACTAGGTATGGCCGAGTCTCCATGTCATCCCTTCTCTTCATGCCTGATCGTGCTCTGCTGCAATCAAGCTGTCACCCTGTTCGAATGCAAGTCGACTACCCGTAGCAGTGTTTTCAACAGAGGCTTGTGGATCTCCTTTAGTTGGCAACCATGCATGGCGCAATTGAGTTTGCAAATCTTGAAAGGCACAGCTGCCATGTGTGTACATGATGTAAGCTCTGTGTTTTTCTTGGTCGATGTGCTGTTACTTGTCATAGACTCGGGGAGATACGGAAAGAGAAAGCGAGGGAATGGGAAGTGAAATCTTATCGTGTCTGGGAATACTTCGTGTTCGGTTGTCTTGGGATTTGCTGGTTGGGAAGAGATGCAGGCTGCATGCTGAAGGGAGTGGATGCAGACAACCTTGTGAGTATGCTGTACAGAATGCAACGCATTTTCGTGGTGAAGTATAACAATGCCATGGGCCACTGAAGGAGTGAACCACTCCCAGTTGACAGACACTGTAGGGAAGTTAACCTCTGTGACGTGTTTGGTGAACTTTTGGAGGTGTTTGCAGCTGCATGTGATGCCTATTGTGGCGGCAGAAACAATGTTGAAGCTTTTGTGCAATTGTGTTGTTCGAGCAGCTCATGTCCGTGATGTTGCAAGGGCGGAAGAGGCACTGCTTACTCCATATGGGACTGATGTGACGGGTATTCAGAGGGACTGGAATGAAGAGCTACAGAGCTGCAGGGAGCTACCAAGAGAATCTCTCCAGGATCGGTATGATGACCTCTGAAGCCTTTAGCCGTTTTTGCTGTGTATTCATCTTGGCAAGAGGAGATGACTTGTATCCTGTTAGTAGAGCAGGGGCTGATGAATCGGGGTTTTTGAGTATGGCGGGAAAGGTGAAGTGTACGGATGATTCACGTTCTGGATGAGGAGAGGGGATTATATAATACATCAGGGACAAGGGTGGCAAAGGGGTAAAGAAGGACACTGGCAAGGGAGCTGCCTGGAACGATTCAGATCGTCTTTGTTTTACTGGCTTATTCATGGAATGTGAAGGGGGGGATGCGCAGGAGGTGGGGAAAGATTAAGGGGAGTTTTAAGTGATGGTTTGTGCCCAACTTTCTGTGGTCTCTGCATTTTGGCAAGTAGTGAGCTGGGGTCCGTTAACTGATTCTTTGCTCACAAAGTTGCACACTGAAAAAGGCATATGCACACCCTCCATGGACAGCGACAACGGATGCATCGGAATCTTTCATGGACTGCCTCAGCATCCAAATGTGGTCCTATGTTAGCTCGTGGTTTTCTCAGACTCTAGGCTGCTAAGGAGTGTTTTGTATTCTGTTATGTTGGCGACAATAGTTGAATTGTCTTTGGTCGTCTTCTTTTGTTCGACAGAAGGTGCACCAAAGCATTTGTGCACTTTGCGGCACAGGGTAATCAAGGCATCGGAAACAACTATTACCACATTGTCTTGAAGTCTCCACATATCAAACAATTTCCTGATAAGGATGCTTTGCGTGGCTGCTGTTGACTTGTGTGTTGAGTGCCTACTGGCCATGCGCTGTGAGCTGGGACTCGGCAGGCGTGGCTGGTGTGGGAACACTGGAAGTGCTAGTGCGGAGCACTGTCGCCAGTCTCTACACCTCCCCTCTGTGCCAGCTGGCCTACAGCAGTGTCCCTTATCCAACATTGTCGTTAAATTGCACCCAACAATAATGGCTAAGGTCCTGCTAATGCGGGCCACGAAGGCCAGTGGGATATCTCTAGACGGTAGAGCACCAAGCATGCACATGAGGCAGAATTGGAATGGTAGTTATTGAACCCACAACCTCCTGGGTGCAACTTCTGTGCCTTGCTAACAAAGCAAGCCCGATTGACCGAGAATCAGAAAATTTAGAACGTATAAGAAAAAGAAATCTTTGGAAAATTAATTAGTAATTTTTTTATTATTATTTCTCCGGCTATGATCTGAAAGAACATTTATTCCAACCATGGATAAACAACCGGAAGCTAGCAGGGAGGGGATCACTGTTTGCTTCACGATAAGCTGCTGCAAGGTCCTCTCAGCCGCAATGCAGGAGTGACTGTGAGTACTACATATTGCATGTTTTCTTTTGACTGGCTGGTCAGATATGAATGGGAACAACACTTGCTAAACCACCACGACCCCCGATACTGTTTTTGCCGAGCCTGAATTTCATTGCGCAGCAAGTTTTGCCGAGCCTGGGTCCCATACTTATTTCTAGACTGGTATTCACGGCCGTTACATCCCGAATAGAACAAAAAAAAGAAAACAAAAAAAGAAAAAAAAAGAAACTTCGCCACATGCCGTGATAGCCATCAGATATATTCTATGAGGTGCTGGTGAGACTGTGCCCTCAGTGAGGGCATCTGTCCCTTATGCTGCTATCGCGGTCCAATACAGGATGCTACAGTGCAGGTGTGAGTATGACGTGAGTGAGGCAGTTGGCCGCCCCCAGTGGAATCCGCCCTGCATCGTAGGCAGGGCACCAACGAGAAACGAAAAGCTGGAACTAGTGTGAGGTATTAGTAGAAGGCGAATCTCTAGTGTAGGCAGACAGGACTCAGGGAGGGGAGTAGGAGGTAAGGGATAAGGGCAAAGGAAATTGGAAGGCAGGAGATGGTGGACAGTTAAGACAGGAAGGTCTTAAGAATGTGGATGTGGTGGGAAAGTGAGGTAGAGGGAAGGTAGAGCTGAGGCAACTAGGATGGCAATGAGTTGAGCAAGTAACATGCGGCCAGAGGGGCTGGCAGGTCACTTGCAATGACTTGCTGATTTCTGCTGCCGAGATCTGACTGCGAGGTTGTATAGTCGTGTCCTACGGTCAGATCCGTAATTTTGTTTGTGTCAGGGACTAACCGCCGGTCCAGTCCTGAGGGAAATTCGTGAGGGACATATCTGCAATTTACACAAAATTGCAGGCCCGAGTTCCCCTTATCCGTTACTGCCCTTAGCAGACCCGGGCTATCACTAGGACAGCAGGCCCATCTGGGCCTTGGGCTGTAGAGATGGTTTAGACGCCGTATAGCCGGTTAGGGCCCAGGCCGAGCAGGCCAAACTGATGCGGTACCGGTCCAGTAGGTCTAGGTCTAGGGCAGGCTGGTCTATTAATAGGACTGAGCCTGTAGTTTAGGGACTTTTGGCTTTTCATTTCCACGATGCAGCGTTGTGAGCCAAGCAAGTAGGTGGTGGTGATTGTCTACAGGCGGCATCCTGGGACCCTCGCCGTGGACGGCAGCCATAGCCTGCCTTCTGGAGGTTGCCATAGCTGGGGCATCCACAGCGCATCTACCCCTGGGGGTATCTGCGTCTGGCTGGGCTAGACCGAGGCTCTTCACTGGGTACTCGTGGGTGGACCACTGTCGCCCATCTCGCATCTGGAGATATCAGGGCTGTGTCAGTGGTGTGGCAGCCATAGCTGCCTGTTTCCTCGTCAGAGTTGTTCATCGGCACTGAAGACTTCATCCCGGGACCTGTTCTTCATCTGAGCGGTGGGCGGTGGCCTCTGGGAGGCCTTCTCAGTGTTGCACTACTAACTGTGTGTAGGGTAGAGAGTGGAGTGTGGAGTTCTGAGGGTGGTGAGATACTGAAACAAACTCTGTGATGATAATTGGTCCGAGTTGGCTCATCATTGGTGTAAATCCTATTGTTATCCTCGCAGGTGTCTTCTTGTGATTGGTTGTTGGGAGTATTGTCAGAGAGTGAGAAATACTGTGTGTCTCTCCCCATCTGTGCATGGTTGTATTTCGCTGCCTACTTTGATCTGTGTGCAGTTTGGACTGTCTCCTCTCCCCTTCGTCTTATGCATGTATGGGCGTGTATGAGATTGTCTGTGTGTGAGTGGCGGTGAAAATCGTCAAACAACCAAGTTCATAACACACTCCTCCCCCCTGTGCCTGGACCCCTTGGACCTTATCCTGCAGTGTGACTGGGTGCTGCTAATAATTTTCCGGACTTGAAGGAGAATCACCAAGGAAAGGCCAAAAGGCAGGGGGTGTTGGCGCTGTGGGAACCCCCCCTTCAATAGGCGGCTCGAGCCACAAGGGCAGGCTGTCTCTCTTCGCTGTCTCTTCCCCCCCCTTTCTTGTTTCAAATTGTATAAAAAACAGTGCTTGCCGGTGATAAGCAACCGGACTGATGCCCCCCACAATAGAAGGGGCTGGTGTTGTTGGGTAAAAAAAATCGAAAGAACAAAACAAAACATAAGCAATCACGTTCCCCACATGCTGGCCACATGCTTTCCTCAGAGCACTGGTGTGACTTCCACCTCGTGAGGGCCTTCCCCAAAGTTGCTGGTTTCAAAGTTCTAAGATAAAAAGAACGGAAAAAAAAAAGAAACTTCCCCACACGCCGTGATAGCCATCAGATAGATTCTATGAGGTGCTGGTGAGACTACCCTCAGCGAGGGCATCTGTCCCTATGAGAAGCAAATGAGGGACAAAAAAAAAGAACTTACCTTATGCTGCTATCGCAGTCCGGTGGAATCTGCCCTGCCTCGCGGGCAGGGCACCAACGAGAAACGAAAAGTAGGAAAACAAAAACAAACACAAGGAATCACGTTCCCAACATGCTGGCCAGATACATTCCTCAGAGCACTGGTGTGGCTTCCACCTTGTGAGGGCCTTCCCCGAAGTTTTAAAGTTCTTAGTTCGTTTTTTTTTTCTTCTCACTGTGGGACTGCGGGGTCCGAATGCTTTTTATTCTTTTTTTCCAACCGACCGTATGCCAGACCCCCAAACTTTTCGGATGAAGTCATTTTCCCAAATTGGACTACAGCTTGGAAAGGTAGTGGTGGGGTTTAATGGGAAAAAATGATTGACGGGGTTATGGCGATGATGATTGGTTTCTGGTTTTTCTTAATTAAGTAATTTATTGTTTAAACTTTCAGGGTATAGTCCCAGCCAATTTTGTTGGAAATGGTCTTACATTACATGCCTCTTTCCTATTCTAAACGACTTTCCCTTGTTTTTTTCTCTGTCCTCGTCACGTTTCAGTGTTCAGTGTGCCTGTGACGTGCCTGTGGTGCTGCACATGGTGCATGCCTTCCAATTTCAATGGGAACAAGGCATTGTTGGCGATGATGATTGGTTTCTGGTTTTTCTTAATTAAGTAATTTATTGTTTAAACTTTCAGGGTATAGTCCCAGCCAATTTTGTTGGAAATGGTCTTACATTACATGCCTCTTTCCTATTCTAAACGACTTTCCCTTGTTTTTTTCTCTGTCCTCGTCACGTTTCAGTGTTCAGTGTGCCTGTGACGTGCCTGTGGTGCTGCACATGGTGCATGCCTTCCAGTTTCAATGGGAACAAGGCATTGTTTCACAGTGGACGCCACAGGGCGAAGGGTTTATCATGTGGTCAATTGGCCATGGTTATCGAGTATGTGGTTCTGTACTCCTTCTAGGAGGACCCTCCCACCCCCCCCTAATGGAGTGATTATGTTATAACAGTAATTGGCTGGCTTTTGTGGATGACCAGGGTAGCGCTTGAGCAATGATGCCTGCTCCTCATGCTCTTGTTTCAAACATTCTGTTGTGGTTTTGGTTTGTTCTCGGATCTTATACAACCACCTCATTGGCTCTGTTTTTCTGGTTTCAACCGTGGTTTTGCAGGATAATCCGTGATAGGGCTTTGTATAAAGTGACATCTGATTTTGTCGAGGCTGCGGTCAAGGGTGCAAAGGCAGTGGTTGGACACTCCATCACACCGATCAATCCAACAGATCCAGAGCGCTTCCATATGTAAGCTTCATTTCTTGCTGCCAGAGCTCCCCTTGATGACTGACTGAAGTCTTTACAGTTTGTGGGTCAGTGTCAGTGCATTGCTCCGCCGTTGGAAGGTTGTTTATTAGTCAACAAGTATGTGGGAAGCTTTGCTATCATCTTTGTTTGGGAAAATTTTCGAGATGCCCCTGAAATTTCCATTAATTTACCGTGTGCCCCTCTGAACTCCGACTTACCCTGTCGTGGCCCTGGGGCCTCTGAAGTTTTTAGCAGGCCCCTGTCAGCAAGGGGCACAACTTTCCGCTATGCCCTTACCGGACGGCGGATGGCGTTTCGTCGGTACCTCCTCCAAATGCCCTCACAAGGGCCATGCATCTTTCTGTGACGCCCTTGCAGCAGGCCACCGAAAATGCAGCAGCAGTCAGTCTCTTCACGTTCGCTGGTTGGAGTTGCTGCCGTGCGAAGGTGAGTGTGTGTGTGTGTGTGTGTGAGAGAGAGAGAGAGAGAGCGAGAG